ATATTTTTTTTTAGATGCAATCCAATTTAGATCAAATATTAACCAACGGGTTACAGTATGAACTATTTATGAAAATCTTTGTTTTAAATTTTCAATCCCCAGCTATAAAAACTAAACATTTTATACATTTTACAAAATAATTTTAAAAAATTCAAAATTGTAATACATTTTATCAAAATTCGACTTTGAATACTTATAATGTTTTAAGTGTGGATTTTTAATATTTCTCAACTATTATTATAACTATTTATGAGGATAGTAACTTGTATTACATTTTTTTAAGCAGCCCAACGAAACCTTTTTTATTGATATTTATAGAAAATAAATTTATATGGGAATTTGTTAACTTTCGGATGAATATTTAATGTCTTATTCAGACACTAGGAAAACTTTAGCGGAATTTTGTATTAAATATTCAATGCTTGGATGCAAATGGAACATTTTTTAGGAATTTCTAACTCCAAATAGTTTGCCAATTTTCGTGATTTTGATGAATTTTGTCAACATTTTAACTTCAGCCGCTCATAAAAACTTATTGTGAATTTATCCTCAACTTTTTTTTTCAAAATTTCTACTAAGAACAACTTATGAGAAACGTGGTATTACATATTCAAGTTTTTTGACCAATTAAAATATTTTTAATAATTTAAAAAAACTATTTAAACTTGAAATTTTGCTATGCCTATAAATAGCTCAAAAAGCGTCACAATATTTTATGTATTTACGGTTATTTATTTTATAGTTCCGCTAAAAAATAAAATCGATTTTTGGTCTTGCGTTAAATTCTCAGTTTCTCCTTAATTTTTTTTGGTTTTTCCTAATGAGCTGTCCTCTAACTCACTATAAAGTACCAACTAGATTCACTTACCTATCAGAAAAAATGCCGTGGAAGAAAATTTAAACATTTTCACTGACCCAAAAGCCGATGACAGGCACAAATAAAAATCAAATAAAAATGGAAAAGACCATTGTAAAATCAATACACTCATCGCTCCGCTCAGAATCTAAAATGTATGGTGTTATTCAAAAAAATATAAAAAATAAAAATATATAAATGATAAAATAGCAATAAATATAGTTTTTTCAGAACTATTGTTTTGAAATTACTTCAAAATATGTAAATAAAAATATTTTCAAAAAAGTTAAATTTTTTCGAAATGGTGCTTATAGAATTGTAGACAATCAAATGGATCATTATATATATATAATTCAGTACAATATTATGTACAAAAACACCAGACATCCAGAACACTACATCAGAGTACTGTATGTTCAAACAAACTCAGTTACCAGTTACACCCTGACACGAATGGTGACTAGTAACTAAAAAAAATAGACTATTATTTTAAGTATCTAGGTGTAATCTCGACCCAGAAATACTTCCGACGAAAGTATTAAACGATTATGTACACCAGATCTAGTTTTATAATGAGCACATAGGTAAACCCACTACAATTTATTATGATAATATTATATTTGTTTATTGTTTTATGTACAGAGCACATTAAATCAAGTAAGTTAGCATGTATACAATCTTACATTTTTAGTTTTTTTAAGATGGCATATATTTTTCCAGGAAAAAAGTCACATGATAAAATTAGAAAATAATTATTCTCTACTTTAAAATAGGTTAACACGCTTATAAGTATTTCACCTTCGTGTAAATTGTACCTCGGTTGTGTTACCTATGGATTGATTGTTATTAATAATTATAATTTTTAACACATTTATTAAATCTTTCATTTAACCTGGCGTTTATTATTTCTAGCCATTAAAAAATCTATTTATATGATTTATTATGTATAAGTTCTTGGTCTTTAAAAGTATGTTGATCAGTAAATATTATAAGACGTAATATTAGGTAGCACTGTTTGTTTTCTCCTCGGTTTTTCTCTCCCTGGCCCACGCGCCACATAGACAAAAAGCATTTACTCAAAATCACTTTTTAGGGGATAACATTTCGATCAGTCTAAATATTGTCTCAAAACAATTTAAACATCATGTAAATTTACAAAAAAAAATTTCATTTTGATAGTTGAATACAAAGTCAAATAATAAAAAAATATAAAACCAATATGTCATACCCTCAAAAATATTATGTCTTTATTTATAAACTAAAGTTTAAACCTAAATTTTATATTATCGATTGGTATGTGTTTTGACATAATAAGTAGGTAGGTACATAATCATCATCTTATTCAAGAGCGAGCACCGTAGCATGTGTTCCCTCCCGTTCATAAAAAATAAATACAATATAATTAATAGGTATATTATTTTTCATTAAAAAAATATTAATCAGCAGCATCGTAAAAATGTTTTTAATTTAAGTGTCTCTCCATACACAGATTCTGGATCCGCCCTTGTTCTTATGTTTTAATTAAATCCAATTATTTCACTAAAAGCCTAGATAGTCGCTTGCTTAAAGTCAACGTGTGTTATACTAATGGATCCGAAAAAATGTACGTTCAGCAAATACGTTTCTCGCATAAAATACTAAAAAAAACTTCGAACTGCTCTGGAATTCTTCGTTTTTCTTTGGAGTAAACAGTAAATAATGGTCACAGATACGTCTTTTTTTACTCTTATAGCACATAATTGAAACAATTTTCTAGACTTAAAGCAAACATGGTATTTTGTTCAATACCACAGATTGAAGTAAAGTCGTCACTAGTAAGTTGAATTAAAGTTGTAAAGTTTGTTTTTTATCTTTATATATTATATGGACCCTTTACAAACTTTAACTTTATAATAACAATTTATGGTTATGAAAATAGTAAATGCATAATTATTAATTAATATTAGTGTATACTGTATAATATAGAAGCTGTACTTATTTATCCCTGGCGATGCCCGGTTGCACCAATTTGCAAGCAAAAATACATAAATAATATGCCCTTAAATTACTTTCCTTAAATCGTCAAAATAGGTAGAGTATTTTTTGATTCTATAAGCCTCAGCAATACACTTTGCCTTTAATATATAATTATTATTACTCGTGGCTTCTATTATACACTCTTACAACTCGCCCGGGATCCCAGATAATTAGAATAGTTTATTAGGATGTATTATTGTATTGTATGCAAAACTCGGTAAGAAACTGGATTTGCATATTCGTAGTTTAGATATAATCTGATAAATAATATCTGTTATTATATATTATAATTGATCTAAGTATCTAACTATATTTTCCGTTTTGCTTCAGTTGAAACAGTCTCAATTGCTTTTTGTCAAATTCGGTCGAGTTTATTTTTCGTAGGGTAAACCTCAACCATACACTGCCTCTAATATATTAAAATAGCTGTTACTCAATTTTACATTTGTATAAATTTTTACTAAACTTTATTAGCTTAAATATAATATAATACATAAAATTGTATTAATAACTACTCTATTATTACCCCTTGGTATTTTCAATCTGTTTGGAATTCGAAACGAACTATTATTTGTAATTTCAGAAAGATTGATTTATATTTTGATTTCAATTATTGACAAGATATTAAATATCATTATATTTAAAACTTATGAACTCATTTAAAAGATTTTGAAGTTATTTTCAATATAGTGGAGTAATAAAATGTAGCTTAATAAAATTGATATTTGGAAATTCAATGTATTAATAAAAATTATCATTATGATTGAGTACAAATACTCAATAACTTTACCAAAGTTTTAAGTGCAAATATAAATTAATAATTTTATTCACAATTTCGAAATAATAAACCTCGAATATATATACGATATACGTACTTACTTAAATTTTCCTCTGGAAATAACATTTATTGAAAATTGAATATACCTATGATACCTACCCAACTGTTTTCGAAATTGTAATAAAATAATCAAATTCAAACTTAATTAGATCCATGGATAGTGTATTGTACTTTAACTTTTTTTGTTGCCTTTTTCATATTTTTCTTAAATTACTGTCCACTCGGAATCTAAAAATGTTTTTTTTTTGCTGTAAAATGGATAACCGGAAATTCGAGTTGAATATTTGAGTAATAAGCCCTTTGGATATTCAAATGTTGTGTAAAAAACGGATGTAATATGTGCTGCTCTGTGATTATTAGGGGAGAATTCATAATAAAATATAAGCTTTTACTGCCAGAGGCAATATGATAGTTTGAGGTATATCTCTCTTTTCTTTTTCTTTTTTTTACTTTCCATTTCAATAGGTGTTTCATTGGAGTGTGCATTTTCCCTCTTAGTATGAATTGTATAGCGTTTGAGTTCTGTATGATTTCTGTTCATCATAACATTTCTATTTCACTTAATAGTTTATATTTTTTGTATAATATTTGTATAATTGCGCTTAACAATTATTAATCATGAACAATATTAACATATTATATCGTTCAAAATGCTCTGATACACTTTCATCATTATTACGTGACGCTGCAACCACGGTACATGAAACTTGTGATAATTCACAATACAAATTAAACCGTATATCAAATATTAATAACAATGTTAACACATGTTCTTGCATGTTGCACCTAGTCTTGCTTCAGGTAAACATATTTTATTTTTTTATTCTTATATTTGAGAATATTTATTTTATTCTTATATTTGAGAATATTTATTTTATTCTTATATTTGAGAATATTTATTTTATTCAAAGATCATTATATAATAATTAACAGTTAGGTATCATTAATAATTTTAAACCATGTATTTTAGTAGGTAATCCATAATGTAGTTGTATACTTAATATTATATCGCATATATTATATATTGTATACTGAATAATATTACTTAATAGTATGATTTGTTCTTATTAAAATGCTTGTATTAAACATTTAATCTGAAGTTATGGGTTTCATTATAATATTTATACATATGTATTTAAGTATTATTTTTGAATTAATTATAAATTTAAAATTTAAAATTATAGGTTTGTGTACCTACCTATATTAAATAATGGTAAAGACTTTGATAGTAAGGTTATGAATTATAATTTTCTCATTTATTAATAATTGATTCTCCATTTTGTCATTTAGGAAATTGCTGCATTAAGAAAAGAATTAAGTCAAACACGTGATCAACTAGCCGCAAGAGATGAAGAAATTGCCGAATTAAAAGCTGAGAGAAGCAATACAAGAGTATATATTTTCATAATTGTTATAATTTATATTGTTAAAAACTTAAACATATTTTAACTTTCTTAATTTTAGTTGCTTTTAGAACATTTGGAAAGTTTAGTGTCTAGACACGAAAGGTCAATTCGATCAACTGTCATTAAAAGGCAGACAAATCAAAATCCACAAGCCTATTCGGGTGTTTCCAGTGAGGTAGAAGTTCTAAAAGCACTTAAAAGTCTTTTTGAACATCATAAAGCTCTTGATGAAAAAGTAAGTATGAAAAATAAAATGTTAATGTTACATTTTATATTATTGATAAGTGATTACTATAATCTAATGAAATTATGTTTTAAGTTTTTATGCTAATTATTTATTAATATATTTTATTTTTATAAACAGGTAAGGGATAGATTAAGGTATGCTTTAGAAGCTAATGCTAAACTTGAAGAGAAACTAGAAAGCACTATGCAAGAGGTATTAATAATTTAATTATCCTATCATAAACATTTTATTTTACGCATAACAAATTGTATGAGTAAACTAATTTTTCAGCTTGATGTGTTCAAATCTGGAGGTAAAGCAGAAGATGATTCTACTGTCCAAGAAAACGGAGGTTCTGATAATGTTGATGGATCTTGCTCTCAACCACTTACTATAAAAGTAATTTTCGTTTTATTATTAAATAACGTACAATAGTTGACAAATCGTTATTTTACATATATGGTATCAAATTGTAGATTATAGATATGCACTTTTTTTATGAAAATAATTTTTGTATATTATCACAAAACCATAATTAGTAGATGGATTTATTATTAGTCAATTTTAGATATAAAAAAAACATTTTGAAAGTGTAGTGTTGATATTAAATTAATAAAACTGTACATTCAATAATAATAAGAAAAAAGATATTTTCATCAAATATACTTATCATAATTTTCAAATATTTTGTCTCATTTTAAACTATTTATAGATGTGAAATTGTTGTTTTTTCAATTTATGTTTTAATATTAATATTATTTTTCTGTTATAAAACTTAATAATTGAATAGACTATTCTTCATATGTTGTTCTTTCAATAGTTGAAAATATAAAAACATTTCACTATTCTGGTATGGCCACATGTGTTGTAGCCAGTCTTGGGAAAGATGAATCTTAGGGGCCCATGAATTTTCTCTTTGATTTATATTTGTATCCAAATTGTTCAAATTTTAGTAAGTTTTCTATTTATCACTTTATGGATATTGTTTCTTAGTTCTACTTCTCTCATAATTAAGGGCAGAAGGTCCATGTCAATTTTTAGCAACAAAAAATTATATTTATAAAATTTCATTGTGCTGTCAAC